CTAAGCATGTACAATGTTTCAGTATTTTCATGTTCACTTATCCATTCTAATGTATTTTTCTTCAGTTTTTTCGTTAATTTATTAACCTGTTTCTTTTCGACCAATTTGTACAAAAAGATAGAAAACAAAAACATGGAAACAACAGAAACAGCAATGAGAAAGTGAATGTTACCTTCGTTATCTTTCCTCTCAATGACTCTAACAATGAATGAGGAAAAAGACACAAGAAAATAATGGTATATAACTAACTTATTGTTTGGAGGGGAGAGTGGGGGTGAGTGGGAGAGAATTATGTATGCCTTGGGAACATTTTGTAGCTTCAAACAAAATGATAACCATTCTCTATTTCCTTTATCTCGTAAACTGGACCATTATTTATTGAATACCTTTCGATGAATTTATTAATAGTTTTTTCAATTGTGATCAGTATTGATGCGATTCACTCAGTGTTGGAATAAAAATGTGGTCAGGGCAACAAATAAAACTATCTAATCAGTTCACTTTAACAACCATGAGCAGTGTGATGAGATGACAATGTCACCACTGCCAACAGTCTGAATACAGTTTGAAATGACATTGTTATATCACAATATAAAAACTAAACATGTCTTTAAAGATTCCTGCTGTAATTGACTTCAGCCATGTGACACCATATTGAAGTGCACTGAAGTGTTGTGTTATTTTGCTTAGGTGCCCTACTATAAAACTTGATGAATAAACCTCGGTAAGAGCTAATTAAGAGAGTTCTTCCTCAATTTTCCGCTCAGCTCTCAGTTCCGGACAGGACGTTGTTTGCGTGGACGTCAATACCCAGAAAACTAGGGATCCGTCCCCTCATCAAAGAGGAAACTTCAACACCCGGAAAATAGATCGCTATACCATACTCACCTCCCCGTGAGAAGACAGGAATAGGATGCCTGTCAGTGAGTCTGCACAATCTTGCCGAAGAAATGACCTTTCATATGAAAAAAGTGGTGTTTAACAAATGTGAACATTACTAGTGGGTCCCAGGTAGACGCTTTCTAAAATTAATTCTTTAGGGCAATGGAAGTATGATGTAATTTCAGGTTGAAAAAGCCACACGATTAGACAAAGTTGTTCCTAAGTCAGGTGCATAAACAACTAATGATAATTTGCTCAATAACTTCATTACATATTATAGTCATTATTTTTCCCTTGGGTTCCCAGTGGAACATACGGCTTCAGTAGCACGCCTCAATCCCACTCTCTTCTCTACAGTCTTTACAACCTGTCTCCACAACTAACCACAAACTCTCATTTATTCCTCACATCATCTCCTCCATGTCACCCTCGCCCCGGACGCCCAACTCATCGTCTCCCCTCTGGATTCCACTCGATAGCCTCGCCTGGCATGTGATGTCTCCAATCGGCCTCCTCAGTGTATGCCCAATCCATCTCCACTTTCTCCCAGTGCATATTTGTTGGTTGATAGGTTCTTGCTTCGTTGCCAGGCCACACTTCCTCCTTGCTCATTTTTTCTGGCCATCTGATCTTCAGCATCGTGTGAGCGTAGACGGCAGTTGTTGATGAATGTGTGTAGTTTGTTGGAAGTGCTTTTTGTGACACGCCATCACATAGCAGTACTGACTTGACTGGATTGGTGTTGACAATCCGGATCTTGTTCTTTGTGGTGAGTGTAGTACACTGCAGTAGATCTCCACACTGATTTCAGGTTGATGAAGTAAGGCTTGTTTTGCTGTCTTTGCGATCCTGATTTTGACATTCTCGTTCTGTGCCCATGCTGCCTGTGGTTGAAACGATGCTGCCTACATAGGTAAAAGAGACTACTTCCTTTAGGTTTCTCCTGTTCATGGTTATAGGTGATTAGTGCCTCTTGTTGTTGATACTGTTGTTGGTTGGGTGTTTTCATCACTTCCGTCTTCTCTACATTCACTTTAAGTCCTGTTTTCGCTGCCCTGCCTCTTCTGTCAACTTGTTAGTTTTCTCTTGTAGATCTTCGAGTTTTTGCGACACTAGACCTTAATCATCAGTGGTGAAATCCAAACCTTGTGGACTCTTTTCAGCGGTCAAACAGTGTATGCCTATCTACTCACTCTTCACGGTTTGCTGCATGAACCAGTCGACCACAATCAGGAATATTATGGGTGATATTAGGCAGCCTTGTCTTACTCCTCCCTGTCTTCGCTTCAAAGACGACACTGAGCTTGCTATTTTGGATCACTCGGCATATGGTGTCGTCATTTAGCTGTTGAATGAGGTTTATAAAGATTTGTGGTACTCCGTAGTCTTGAAGCAACTGACAAATTACTTCATGGTCGACGCTGTCAAAGGCCTTTTCAAGGTCGATGAAGTCGAGGTAGAAAGTTGGTTTCCATTCTGTACTCTTTCCTATGATGATGCGTAGCACAGCCTTGCAATTTGACCCGCACATGATTTGTTCTCCCTGAAGCTAACCAGCCTGTTCTCGTCGTAATTTTGAATCCATTGCATCTTATAGTCTCTGCAGGATGATGCGGCATGATATTTTGTTTGCTTTGGGTGGACAGGAGCATGACACCAAGCCAGTTCTTGTACATGCTTGGGTCTCCCTTCTTGTGAGTTTGATAAGGTAGCCCTTCTTCCAATCAATGGGCAGGTATCTTTCCTTCCTTCCTTCCTTGGTAACCTTCTGCAATAGTGGTGTCAGCATGTCCGCTGCTCATGTATCTGTGTCTGTTTTGAGTGCTTCTGGTGGAATTCCACCTGGTCCTACTGCTTTCCTGTATTTCAGCAACTTTGTGGCGTTGAAGACTTCACTTCTGCTTTCGTTGGAGGCCTTGTGTTCACTGATAGATGTGTGGCTGCTGGTGATATTCCGGGACGAGTTGCAGGTGCTGGTGGTGGTCGATTCAAGAGTTTATGAAGTGGTCAGCCCATCGTTTCCTTTCTTCCTTCTCTTTGGTAACTAGCTTTCCTTCACTATCTTTTATTGGTTTCATCTGTGCTGTGTTGATCTCTTCCCTCCCAGATACTAACCTGGTTATTTGATACAATGTTGTCAGGTCTCTCCAACCAGCAACCTGTTCTACTTCACTTTCCAATGTGCCATAGAAGTATCTTTTGTCGTTGCGCGCACTCTTCTTCACTTAGTTGTCCCGTGTTTTATGTATTGTATTCAGTTCATCTTCTCTTTCTTCATCACTGCACTGTACTGTACTGCACCGTTCTATCTTCATCTTCTGCTTCACCATCTTCCACCCTCTCCTCTTTCAGCTTCCATGTGTCCGTCGAGACCCATTCCTTGTGATTGTCCTTGTCTTCCTCCTTCCTGAAATGGTTATGCAGGTTTCTTTCCACATCCCTTTCAAACAGTTCCAGTGTTCTTCCACACCCGATCCTTAAGGAATGTTGCTCAATTTCTCCCATTCTGTTCCGATGGCTGGCTGAATGGTCAAATTAAAAAATGACCTCAGTTTCGACTTGGGTGATGTGGGAGCCATTTGTCACTGAAGAGATATTTTCTCGGTAGTTTAAAGTCCCTGGAATAAAATTAATGACTGAAATTGAAAAAAGCGTTTTGGTGTTTGACCTGGTGTAATTCCTAGACAAAATTAAATTAGAAATCACTGAGGCTCTTCACTTCATGGGTGCTTCAGGATTTGCATAACATGACAATGAACCAGTACATTCATCCATTCAAGTAGGAGCGCTTATTCCAAAAGAGCGGCCGATCAGTTCAGTTAACCACAGGGGAATTACATGTAATTACATGAAAACTATAGATGTTGCACAAAGAATGACTATCGTGACTCAGTGGTCAACTGGATAGTAAGTGCTCTGGTGTTTGAAATGATCGGTCCTGAGTTCGAATCTCAGTGGGAACAACATCATTCCCAAGGGTCGAGGTATATCCAGCTGACTAGTCCCACATGTGACGGAACGCACATCTTGGATGCTGGGGAATGATGTTGTTCCCAGCAGGATTCGAACTCATCATCAAGCCAGAGCGTTTTCCACTACACCAGTGAGTCACCCTGTCCATTCTTTGTAATTCTCCAATGTTGATTAAAAAGTGAATAAACCGGCCGCTTTATTGGCAAACGGCCTCCAGTGTAGACTCAGTTATCAATCACCCCCACCACCAAACTCGGTTAGTATTAGGATTGTATTCTGTGCCAGTCGATTGTGTCAGAATGGTTGACCTAGAGTCACTTAGTTCATCCGAGCACAAAAACGTTGATAAGCCAAAATCGGTCGATCCTTGTAAGGTAAGGAATGTAGTGTAAAGCTCGGCTTAGCTTTGTTTGCAACTAAACACAACTACACAGCAGGATATGACAAAGTGAATATCGTTAAAACTAACATAACAGGGTGGAGGGAGAAATGGATAACTGAATCTTTGTTGATCGAATCAACACCAAACACATGCAACGGGAATTACTGAGGACTTGTTCCGAATGTATGGGAAATCCCACTACTTTTATCACAAAGAAGGAGAGAAAATTAGAAGAATATACGCTATATCTCAAAGTTGTATAGTTATCTTGATATGACTATGAAAAATAAGTGATGTCCGAAACGTGATCCGATAAATAAGACTGTTCCTTCGCTGTGTTACATTTAATAAATCAACGAAAATGGAATGAATAGTTAGGCATCATTCATTTTTATAACATATGGATAAAACTCTTGGTGAGCAGAATGAAATATATGCTTGTTGTAAACAGTTGGATCTGTTAGCCAAGTTGTCACTGAGACAGATCGGTAATCCTGAGGCTAAGATTTTGAATCCTACCATAACTCAGGTTTGTTCTAAACTTCAGTACTTCACCTTCCTTATCCCTCCACAGTACATTTAGCAGAAAAGAAACCTGATCGTCTTATTTGAATGTGATTGGTCTGGAGTACCTGAAGGTCATTGTATGGCCAATAAGTGTGATCCTGAAAACTGTATCAGAGTTTAAACACAAATATTCACTTTTTTGCTTTGCATAGACATTCTTGCTTATGTATGGATAATCAGAAATTTTCAATTGTTAGTTTAAACTTAACCATTACAGAGAAATAGCAAAGGTGAATAGTATGTGGGACATTCGAAAAACTAGCTTTGTTGAAAAACATTCAAATTTCACGGCTTTTAAACTAACCGGGAACGGTAGACAAAGATAACACGACATTTTATATAATACCTACTAATAGTAGTAAGTTCCTTTTAAGCAAATGGATAGAAAAAGGACTGATATCAAAGTTGATAAAAGTGTATGGTGGTGAGCGGTGGAGGAGGGAGAGGGAGTTTAAAAATTAATGTGAGTCAAAACATTCAAGCTCTAAAAATCGTCAAAGACGGAATACATCTACACCATCGTTGCCAATTTTCAGCCATGTCACCAAAACTCCTAAATCATTGATTCCTTTCGTCTCTGGGATCTCAGCCACCTAGTCTACACCTCCCCCACAAGACTCATGCCAACAGTCAGAGGCTTCATGAGATGGTGCTGTCTTGATCTGGCTATCCTGAACCTTATTCTTCCGATGTGATCCAGTTTCCCCTAGCACTGGACGTCGAGGTAGACGGTTGCTTCGCATGTGCACTATATGTCCAAACAATCTCACAATATGAAGGTTTACGTAATGTATTGACCTCAAACCGTCACTAAGTGAATTGTTGCCTATCATATCAGTGTGCACACCAGATGATGCATTGCAAATGGAGTTACTACCATTGAGTATCAGTTCATGTATACACCATTCTCAAGGTGTAAGGATTTATCGGACAGCTTTCCCACTGGCCTTCAGACTTGCTGATGTTTATGAACAATATAGACTTGAAACTAAGAAAACGTTAACAGTTCACCTGGAAGTGGCAATCCCATCCACCAACAGTATCCTTATTTTGATTGACAAACAACTTATTATTCAAACCGAAAACTTCACATCATCATCAATTGTGCTTAGTCATTCTGAACCACTCAAAATTGTATTACAATGCAGTAAAAGTAAATACACTTTGAAATTGTAAGTTTGTTAGGATTTATTTTTTGATTTCAAGTTGAAGTTCACCATGGACTGTCATCAGTTGTAGTACCTTTGAAAACCTTGGGGCAATGAGAAGCTGTTTCGTCCTCTTGTGGGACTTCTCCGCAGCGCACGTTCACGACCCGGGTAGACGTCGATCTAGAGACCTTAAGTTTTCTGATATATTTATGCGCGGATACGGATACGTACCTGTGCATGTACAGGTACACGTTACACATGCTTACCTGCGCATAATGTTATATTGCTCTTCGTTACTATCAGAGGAATACAGGATGCGCGTTTCGAACTGTTTCAAACTCATCAGCCGGATATACCTACACCTCATTGGGTGATACTGTTCCCAGTGAGGCTCGAATCCAGTAACCATTGCTTCAAACGCCACAGCGTTATCCACTAAGGCCAATGTGGCACGATAGCCACCTCTTGTACAACGGGTATAAGTTGTTGTAATGATACATGTGAGTTCCCGTTGCTGTACTGGGTCGAATCACTTAACCTCTGTAGGCAGATAAGCTCATATGCGCATGCCTCCATACTGCTGAATATTCATGATATTGTAATGATGTTGGTTACTAGCATAGGAATCCATGACGCATCATATCTAACTGAAGAACATAGCTAGGTATGAACATACCCAACTGAGAGTGTGTTCATACCTTTGTCTAGTCATCCTCTGACAACTGATCATTTATTCTACTTCTGCTGGCTTTTGTTTGGATACACCCCGCCTTTCAATCTCAAAAAGCGTTTTACAAGTAAATCCAGGAAAGGCGTTTGACAGCCTCTTGTTTCATCAACACATACTGTCTACATAGTCAGTCCTCAGTTTTCATGTGAAAATCAACCTCTAGTCATCAAAATGTCACCCGATTAGTGTTATAACAAGCCCTTCTATCATTAGAAAACCATAAAATGAAAGGTTACTGTGCGTTATCAGTGTGTTTGTGCATATGTGTGTGTGTACGGGTGTGGAGGGTACAAGCGATACAAGAAAACATAGTTTCCGTATTCTATGCATAACAGATAATGTAATGATGATGAGAGGTAGCTAACAGTTCAGTGAAATATCTGCGCACACACACACACAAATAACTTTGAGAAAACTTGAATTTTTTCCTAATCTAGTCAGATTCAATATGCACAAAATAGCATCAACATTTATTGCGTTCAGTTACGGAAAACAAAGCGGTGACAAAATGTAGCCAGTTTCTTTTCATAATGTCTACCAATAATAATAATAATAATAATAATAATAATAATAATAATAATAATAATAATAATAATAATAATAATAATAATGACGGTATTCTGGCTACATTTCAGTCTCAAATTATTTGTATCCTTCAGCCAATCAGAATGCCCAAGATTCATGTACAAAGTTGTTGGGTATACAATGTAAATTTATCGACCAATCAGAATGTCACTTTTAATCTTTTCACATTTTTGGTGTTGACATCTTAAATGTTGTCGTTCACTTTCTAATGAACAATTAAACGAATAAACAAATATCACACGATATCTTATCAATTATTATGCATATTGAACAAATGGCGCTAAATGGATTTACTTACTAATATGAATCTTGTAGAGTAATAATTTGGAAGTACAAAAATTGTCTTTCAGTATCCTGACACTCAAAAGAAAAGTAAGTCTTGTTTGCGTAGTTGAACTGAGAAGGTTTTTTCTGAGTTGTACTGCAGTTTTTATAACTTATTTTTTCTAAAGTTATTCAGTAGATTTGGATTAGGTCCTTTAAAGTTATTTGTCACTGAAACAGAGTCAAGTAAAGTAAGCTATTTGCTGATTATACAAATGTTCATTCAAAGTATTCCACTCTCAGAAGTTCACGAATTCACAAGTGGAAAGGGTTTGGGAATAATGGTAAACAATTTTTACCAGTTTCATCTTTAAGTTGTTCAGTTATCACGGGGGTAAGGATACTGAAAACGTGTTAAATTTAATATTTCAGTGGTTTAAGAACTAAAGTTCTTTTAACGAGTGTCTAAATGGCCTGGGAATATGTTCGAAAATATGGGACCCAAGAGGACTGCCCATCTCCACACCTTCTATCTGCAGTGCCATTCATTAAGCTGGAGTTGCATATTTTTTTGCCATATTGTCAGTAACTCGTCCAGTCTGTTAGATGGAAAGTCTATCATGCTGGGCTGACAATATATATGATGTCAGTTGTTTGTTAAAATGAACGATGCTTCAACAACAAAATGAACTATGTGATCTTTGCTTATATACATACAATCAATCCTACTAACATGTTGAAAACTATCATTAAAAGTATACATAGCTAGGCTAGCTCTTTCGCGGTAGTCTCAGTTAATTGTGGAAGCTATCAAGCGAGTTCCTGATTTGAGGAGTTCGGCGTAGGCAGTACAGAAAGTAAAGGTATTCCCTGTTTAGTGTTTATCACATCTCAGTAGGACAATTCGTTCATTCGTTATCAGCTCACTGATGGGTAAGAAATTTTTATTAGTTTTTGGTTACGTAAATCGACAATTCTACCTTTCATTCAGCTTTCCTTATCATCTGATATGGTCTTCAAATTCGAAAGTTGGCTGTACAAACTTTCAAATTGACATTCGAGGTGAATTTTTTGGTTTAGTTTATAATAAGAAACATGATATTTATAGCTTAAAGATGATGCTTCTAATTGAAGTTTCTACAGTTGAACAAACTATTTTGAGTTTTCTGGAAAATATTCTTCCGCAGATTCTTGAGATTCTTGATTTGCATACTTTCATCGTTGTTTGTGAACCATTAAGATACTCCATACTGAGGAATAAGTTGAAGAACGTTATGCTACAACATAAATTTACCGAACCAGGAAGTTAGTTTGTTATGACAAAATGTGTTCAGTAATTGACTCAATGTAACATTCATAGTCTCTTTGGAGAACCAAGTAAGGCGCTTTAAGTCCGTACAAGTAGAAGATGATTTCTACTGACCTAGTTGTTTACAGTACTGTAGAGGAAGGTGTTATCACTCAGATAATTTTTGAGAAATGCAATACAAATATATTCACCTAACATTTTACACTTTATTGTGAACAAATTTGCCAAATCAAGAAATGTATTCCCTAAGGAGAGATTTCGAAAATTTGCTCGACAGTCAGTCAAAGTTTAGATTGCATCACTTGAGTAAACACTGGATGAAGTGTAGCTATTAGTAATCCCCTTTAGTCCTAAATTTGCCAACACATTTCTCGCCCACTCATGCAGTATACTGAGCTAAGCAATGTCAATAAAAAGACAAAACTGTATTTTCAGTACACTGAATATTCTTATGTAGATATTTAGAAAATAGACTGACTGAGGGGCGAAATATATTCCTTTTCAACTAGGTCTTCATCTTGGTCGCTACACTTGACCAACTTTCAGCAGATTTTTTTCCTAAAACTAGAAAATGGTCCACTGGATGGAACTATTAGCCATGTAGAGTTATATTGTCGTTACATGGATGATACCTTAGTAGTTCTCAAAAGTGAGCCTGATGAGAATGCTGTTCTGAATAAATTCGATAGTGTTCATCCGGCAGTCAGCTTTATAATGGAAGAGGAGAAACGTGACAGTATCCGATTTCTTGGTGTTCGATTGTTAAGAAGGTTAGATGGAATTCTGAAACGAAGTGCAGATAGAAAACCAACATCAACAGGTCAGTAAACGCACTTATTTAGTGTCGTACCCCACCAACATAAAATGAATCTAGTGAAATGCCTGGTATATCGTGCCACAGCTATTTACTAAGATGATGTTATAGAGGAAGAGTTCGCCACCATCTGTGGTCTGCTTAGTAGGAATTGCTCCCAGCCAGGTTTGTGACCAAGCATATGAATATTACGAGGGTTAAGAAAAAACGTCAACAGTTTTTAAGAAGTGGACCTTCTTGAAGCTGAAATTCAAGAGTGACATTACCAGTGAGATCATCATAAGACATAAAAAGAATCTTACAAAGAGCATCCTCAGCCGCTAAATTGTGTCCCGTCTTCTACAACCGCACGATTCTAGGTGCAAGAAATATGGGTAGTCTTCCTGATTCAGGCACTTCCATGTGTATTTACCAATTCAATTGATCCTTTGGAGCTAGTTACATTGGGCTTACAATGACGCAGGTCCATCGTTGGATTTCTGAGCACCATCTATCAGTCAAAAATCACTCCATTTACATGAGAATAACCTACTTCATATATTACCAATTTTCATTACCTTGCTGATGATTTGCATATTAATTTCTAAAACTTATCATCTTCATGGCTTGCCTGAAATCCCTATGATTATTGTTCACCATTCCCCCACCACCTGACTGGTATTTTGATTGAATTAGAAATCCCTATATCTATTAGTCTAGAGCCCAAGATGAAGACCTAATCGAAAAGGAATATATATCTTCACTCAATAGGTCTTTTTTCTGAAACTGTATTTGAGCTATGTAGATGACACTTTCATCATATGTGAGAGCGAAGTGCATGCAAGGAACCTACTAAGATCTTCCAGTTCACTTCATTCAGACACGAAATTCACATGTGAACATGAAACGTTAGATGGAATAAATTTCTTCGATTATATTATTATACTCAGAATTACACAGAATTTAACATAAACTTAATTGAACCGGTCAATATTTACCGTTTAATAGTTTCTGTCTTATCGCTTATAAAAGAAGTCTAGTCAGGATATTATTATCATCAAAAATGAGCTGGAAAATATGCCAAAAACTTTGTTAGATAATGAATATCCCATAAGCCTATAAATGAGAAATTGAGTGATACGACTGTGCCAAAAAAGAACGTGTTCATTAAACTATTATTCAGAAGCGATGAACTGACTTCACAAAATAATTGCCAACTGAATGAATCCATCGCAATAACTTATCCAGCCGCGAAATTAATAGTTGTCTACGACACGAAACATTTGCTTAGATTTATTTATTTACCTGTACTCGCAGTAGCATGTATGTCAGAAGAACGGAAAGGGTTCTTACTAAACGAATCTCTAGACATGTATACAAAAGTCTGTCATTGAGAGGTGGAAGGCTACCAGGCAGCCACATTGGAGAAGCATATCCTCGATATAGGTCATGTCGTTGACTGAAACAAAGCTTTCAAGGTTATCAAGAGACAGAGAAATAGGGGAGTGCTACGTTATGTAGAAGCGGTAGCAATCCGTCGACTGAAACCAGAGTTATGTGTACACAAAATGAGTTTTTGGTTCACCTTCCATTACCTTGATGATTTATTCTTTTTCTCACCTCTATTAAGTATTTTAATTCTTTCATCTTCTTGCCTTACATATTATTATCTAGCATTCTCCATTGTTGTATTCGACGAAGTCATTTATTACTAAGCTTTGCCTTTGTGAATGTATCTTAGTGGGCAGAACATTCCAGAATTACTACCGGTCAGGTGGGAAAAATGTAGTGAATAACAACATGAAGCTGATTAAAAGAAATTAGGGTTTAGAGGGATAAAAATAAACAAGGAATTATGAAACTGAAATATATAATTACGCAACACAAGATAATCTATGACAAGCAAGGCCTTATGATGGTCATGGCAAAGAAAAACCCTGGACATACCATTCCATCAATAATTAATTCGTTAATTTACACCGTTTCTGTTGTTCTCTCCTTTAATATCAAGATTCCACCACCACCTTGAGATCTATTCTTGCACTACTATTAAGCCAAATTCTTTTCTTTCTTTTCTACCGATTCATTTTACACTCTAATGTGTTATTTAACTTGTTCTGTGTACAATGTTGATTACGTTGTGAACTTTATCGTTCATCTTTGTTCCTATATATGTCCATTGATGTGAAAACAATATCATTCCGCCCTGGGGTGCAGGTGCACCCAACTGACGAGTCTGAAATAGGGTGAAGCGTGCATCATGGATCCCCCTACTAGTGACCAAGATTAATATTTCTATTGATGTTTGGATGAGAAAGATATTTTCGGTTTATATTTTACTGTTGAAATGTATCAAATGACTTCTGTTGATGGTAGACACTGATAGCTTACTCTACACAATTTTATATTACTGATTTTTATATTAATTGTGAATAGTCGCTAGCATTGGAATCCAGGATGGACATTTCGTCCTATTTAGGACTCGTCAGATGGGTGTACCTGCCTACTTGTGAGCGATGTTGCCCCCAATAGGATTCGAACTCGCGATCGATCGCTTCAAACGCCATTTAAAACCCCAGCACTGTACACTTGTTGATTTCCTCTTGAGCCAGTAATGCTAAGGAGAGGTCTTTGATGGGAAACCTGTCATCTTGGTACGTTTTCCAGCTTTACCTGCAATATCTCATTGCTATTCAGAAGAACATTTTTTGACAAGTGTATAGTACATTTGTCCTTTCTTTGATTGGCGAATTTCTCAAC